TCTTGGAGATTAATTACCTGCCCGACGATGTACATTATGATTTCATGGAGGTGCAGATACAAAGATACGAGTACAGGAAGCCTCTCGTCAAAGATGAAAAATCTCTATCAACGATGATGCGAAGATTGCATGATTGGTACTTGAAAATCTACAGAGAGTCTGGGGGAAGGAGTACTTTGTATGTGAGAGTAAAAAAGGAGCATGACCTCGTTGGAATTGATCTGTTGCCTGTTTCATTTGAGGAGTTCTTTCAATTTTCCAATCAATTGGCCCTCGATAAAGCAACAGTCACTTGCTACTGTCTGTAAGTAGTACTACTTCTGTCATTAAGTCTCTCTATATAGCTCAGCTCTTTCATTGCATGTATTTATAATTATCCTCACTATATTATGCAGATTGAAGATCGTCGAATTGAAGAAACGACAAATCGGTGATATTGGGTTCATTAACACAAATATCATAGATGCAACTCAGGTTAAATTTTATGCCACAGATACCGAGGCCAACTTGCTACGATCGTTGATAATAAATGAAAACAAAGATATAATACTGTTTCCTTACAACTTCAAGTGAGTGTTACTATCTTGTGCGTATTCGGTTTCTCTTATATATGATCAAGGTTATAGTAATGTAATTGATGAGTTATGCATGCGTGTGCAGTTTCCACTATATTCTCCTAGAGATTAAGCTTGAGCAGGGACTAGTAACCGTCTTAGACTCAAGACGAAAAGATCCCCAGCAATATGCGGACATGACTCAAATGCTCGAGAAGTAGGTTAAATCGATCATTATCCACCATATCAGCAACTTTGTTCATTTCCTGATATATCAAGTAATTGTTTTCTTTGTCTGGCAGAGTTTGGAAAAAAATCACCAAAAAAGCTCCGGGACTCCCGAAGAAACTGCAATTTAGACACCTGGAAGTAAGTACTATACTAGCATGTTCCACACATCTCCAATTGATTCAAGCGCTAGTTTCATCAATATCATTTGGCATTCTTGCTTATCAGTTTGATTGACCTCTATTTCTTGTAAAGTGGTTGTGGCAGGAATAAGAGAATAATTTTATTTTATTACCATCATTTGTGTTGAGTCCATCCGCCGCACGATCTGTGAGCGGGGCTATTCTGACGAACAATATGAAGTGCGTAAATAACAACATTCACAATTTTATTTTATTACCATCATTTGTGTTGAGTTTCATTCATTCATATATATATTGACCCCCTTCTTCAAATTAGATGCTTCGGAAGCGGGATGAACTCCTAACACCAGCTCGCATGCGAGCAATTCAAGAGGAATTGGCGGCATTCTTTCTTGACCACGTTGGTGCCACCAACCGGGACAGGCACCAACCGGGACCAAAGGCCCTCCTGCTTGGGCTCCGCGCACAGGCCACGTGAAGGCCCATCTGTCCCGGTTCTGGATTGAACCGGGACTAAAGAGACATGACATTAGTACCGACCCTTTAGTCCCGGTTCAGGAAGCGGGACAAAATGCCTTTACGAACCGGGACAACAGGCCCTTTTTCTACTAGTGTATCCGGAGACAACTATTTTTGCATACACCAACCAACCACGAGAAAACAAGAGAGAGAAACAGTAAAATAAGCGGCCGAGGGAGACTTGAAAAGCTGGGGTTCTTTTCAATTTTGCTGCTACTAGCAGTGCTAATAACGTTCATTCACACCGTGCCTGAAATCTTATGCTTTGTTTTGTCTCACCCAATGGCATGGTGCTGGATACTTTAGTGCTGTCTGTTACAGGTTGAAACCTATGAGTCCTGAAGACTGCGACGCCACCAGCCGACCACCAGCGCGAGATTTGAAGCCGAGTATTGTTTTTATAGTGTTGCTCCATAGGATACTACACCATCGAATCTCGTCATTTATAATCTACACTTGACGTTAGCAGATAGCTACCTTGGACGGAGCGAATAAACCAAGTACAAAACATAATTACAGTAGAAGACAGCTGCGTAGGACAGATCTAATTAGCTAGCTGGCAGGTTGAATTGCTTAGTTCAGTTTGCATGCCTATAAGTAATCGATCCATACTCATACTCATACACATGCATGCCCGGAGACATGCACGTTTGAACAAATGACGAGAGGACTTAGAGGTATGTCTCTCTCTTTCATAGGCTCTATTAACTTCCAGCATAGATGAATGTGGAGTTTTAACACACAACTTGACAGAAATCCTACATTGCTCCGTATAAATAAGATACTTCATTTGTCCGGTGAAGAGTGTACATCTAGAAATTTTAGGACAAATTATGGAGTTAAGTAAAAAATGCATTGGAAAGGTGCAAGCCACCATCTCTCTCCTCTTTAATTACCTAACCCCCAATGACCTAAGTGCATGTAGAAATTAAGAAGACCCTGTGTAGATTGTTGTTAGTCTTGATTACCGTGTGATGAGAGAGCAGTAATGTTTTCTACTTTAAAGTGCATTCGGAAGATAGAAGTGCACTCTTTTGTGGATAAATTTTAATGCTAGATGTACACTCTTCACCAGACGAAGGGAGTAGCTGGATATGCATATGATGTGCCTAGCTTGTTAGGATCAGCATGCATGATTAATTGATGATAGTACAGATTACTGTATAATAATCTCTCTACCTTGCGAAACCTGCAGTACTAGTACTGATGTTTCCTGTCTCGTGCAGACTAATCAGGATAGCGTCGCCTGGGAACTGTGAGCCTTGAAGACCGCAACGGCATTGGGCAGCCACCGGCCAGCGCAAGATCTGAAGCCAAGTTGTAAGTATTGTTATGGTGTTGCTCCATGGGGCAGCGATTACTAGTTTAGTTTAGCAGAGAGATGGCGCATTGTTTTGTTTCGCCGACGCGTGAGATCTGAGGCTTTGCTTTCTTTCGCCCAACGGGATGCTTTAGCAATGTCACATGTTATCTGTCACACATACAGGTTGATGCGCACGCGGCTTGACGACCACCTCGTTAGATCTGAAGCCGATTTTTGTTGCTATAGTTTTGCTCAATGTAGTGGGGATGCTTTACACTAGCAGCCACTTGTGATGGATGTAGCCAATTAACTAAGTCCGGCTGCATATATGCATATATCGGTAGTTGATCCATCCACATGCCGACATGCGTGCCCTGCTCATGCTAATTAACAAAGTACCCAACAACTTTCTTGTTTGTTTTTAGGGCTGCTCCATGGGATGCTATGCATGAAGTGAGTAGCATTTTGGGTCAACTATATGCATATATCGTTTGTTTGTTTAACTACTATTTCCTCCTAGTTACCGAGCCCTCTCATATCTTGGTTCAAACATTGACAATAAAATAGAGGTAGTGATTATCTTCCTCAGTGTGAGATTATCTTCCTATGCAACGCTTGGATAGGCAAGTTCCTCCACGTCAGACGTACTAAAAAAACCAGAATTGTTTTGCAGGAAAAATTCACCTTATAATGTTTGGAAGCAAGTGAAGTAAAGGGAGGAAACGATAAAAGCAAGCAGAATCTACATGGTCCATTTGGAAATGCTGGCCCAGTGGCCCTTTGTTGCTGCTCCTCCTGCATAGATTGCCCATTTGCTCAGATACTAATATGAACTCATACCTGAAGTTGGTGAGTTAATCTCTTGAGTCGAGAATTCAGTTTACAATATACTAATATGTTTGCTTTCAAGATAGATACTATACAATATATCCCTGGAATAATTTCAATCATCATCAATCTTTACACTTAGAATTCACTAATTTTCACTCATCTGCAGCAGTTCCACAGATAACACAGGCTGTGACATGAGCAGTTGCTTCAGCTGTCTTCTATCTTTACACTCAGTTGGTCTGTGGCTGGTGATCTTCATTATTCAAAGTCTTCAACGTTCAGACTCACACGGCATGGTTTCTATAACATCAACAGGTACTACCAAACGTAGTGATCTAAAACGTCTTATATTAGTTTACAGAGGGAGTACTTAATGTCATCATCCGAGAAATTACTGCTGCAGTCCTTGTTGACCTGCAGACTGCAGTGCACACACAATGGTTGTGGGGACAAGCAGTAATTTCTCTTCTGCTTCCCTCACCCGACCAATAATTCACCCTCTTTCATTCCACACTAGTGCTCTCTTTCCCACATTGCCCACTCCATCCTTTTTGAGTTTCAGACACGGCCAGCTCAGCCAGTTCTTCACTGCCGCTGCTCTCCACCGCCGGTGACGGCAGCTACGACTGACTTCGCTTCCACTCGCTCTCTACTCCGCCGAGGATGGCACCGAAACTACAACATGTAAGCTCCAAAGCCCCCCTTTTACATTGTCCCTTCCCCGACCTACTAGTATCTTGATCGAAAAGTGTGAGCTTACTCAATTTGGTTGCTCTGCTGCCTCCATATGCCAATGGCTTTTGCAGCTCCGAGCTAAAAATGGGGGGCTCAACCGCTCATAGCCGACCTGTCTCTCTGTGCACTTCTATGCCCATCTCTGACTGACTGCAATCCATTGTAAGTGAACCTTTCCTCTTTTTTTGCGGGGAAAAGTTGTATCGCTATTTAATCAAATTGGCAGATATATATCTCGACCCGCTTGCTAAATTCAATCCATTCTCAGTTCGTATATCTGTATGTCCAAACAGCTCCTAAAGAGATCGCAAGAATTTCTCCGAATAATATTTGATGTATAATGTGACGTAAATACTTTAGACAGGAACTAATTCTCTGCTATCCAACGTACATTATTTTCTTGGTTAATTAGCCTAGCTAGCTAGCTAGATCCACAACATGCCTGTCCCTGATTGCACCTAATTTTCAGAAACAAGGGATGTGCAAGCAGTGCATATCAAGATCGAGAGAGCTAGCTAGCTAGCACTGATTCAATAGTACGTGTATCCATGGCAAAAGTTTCAAGGCACAGTACCATTATATAACTACTATTCAGCAACGGGGAAATTCCATGCGTTGATTCTCTCGAGCTTTGCCCTGCAATTGTTCCTCTCTTTCTCCCGCGGCCTTTGGCGCCGCCACAACCATATGATGCTTATGACCATGATACGGTTGTCTTACCTATCAGCTGATTTCATCGCAGCATATCCACTAAGACACCTTTCAGGCAATTTGCCTACCACTTCCGCCATACACGACAATGATCATCATTACAAATCATTGCGCTGCCAAACATATCAGCTCACACTCTTATGGACACCTTTCATTCTTATTCACCTTGGGGGACAGGACACCGTGACCGCTTTTTCATTGGAGGACAGTGAGCTGCGGTTGAGGCAGCTGCTGAGGCTGCTGTTTGTCGTCGTGTCCACCGACACTGACAATTAAAAACAGTTGAGATGGAGTCATATATATGAATATATCCTCTGATGGAATTGCTGACCACCCCCAAGCATTCAGGCATTGAACCCGGCCGGCCGGACACCAGCGATTAGGAATAAAGCACAGACAGCTGATTATCCACCCCTGTAGGTGTAGGCTCTGTATCGCGGTGAGGTCTCGCCGGGGAAGCGTTTGTGCACCGGCGTAGGTACACATGGGTACGCCCCTGACCGGGCTGCTTAGTTCCGCTAATACCGAGGAACATTGCAGTTGCACGGGTAGAGAGAGACGATGTTTGAGGGCAGACTTCTGCCGAAGCCTACATCTCTAGGAGCCCTCGTGTTGGTTACTCCACCGTGTTGTCTTGATAAAAATAATACACTCGGTGAGTTGTCACTCCAGCCGCTTGAGCCGGTCTGATCACCAGACCCGTGCCGCTTGTCTGAACCTACTTCGTATGTGTTCGACCAAAACACCCTAACCCTCCAATAAAACTAAGTTCAACTGTAAGCTTATACACGTATTACACACAAACTCAACAACAGCATATCATGAGCTGTTCTAAAGGTTTTTCAATTCGTCGTACAAAGGAACATCATATGGAGAGAAGCACACTGATCGTATAATATAACAAACAAGGACTTGCTTGTAATAAGTTGCTTCTAAAAATGATAAATCCATTTGCCAGTGTGGCTATCCTTTTATTTCCAGTTGCAAACTATATATTTTGATTTCAACTGTAATTATGCGGTGCTTAATAAGTTTGCATACCAGAAGCATGAAGACTTCGTAGATGGCATACCTTTTCTAGTTGCAGAACTATCTTGATTTCAATTTTAATGATGCGCACGGTATTTAATAGTTTTGCAGATCAGAATCATCAAGTCTTTCTATAACCAGATACCTCATTGATAGTAAGTATACACAAAGTCAACTTAATATAATTCCTTCATTGACATTAACATAGATTGACTTTTTGATATACTTATATGCGGGCTTTCATGGGTTCAGATTGAATCCCTAGCTAGTAGGGATGTCCTCCGCGGAGCACTGTACTCAGATTCAGGACATTGTAGTTGCCATCGAGGTCGGCTCAAATCCAACACGTTCAGGTTTGTACTATTCTATATCAATTTTTAACATGTCCAAAAGTTGCTTCCTGCAAAAAAAAGTGTTTTTTTTCATGGGAAAAAAAGTTGTTAGTTGCTGTTGTAGCCTTAAAAGTAGAGGTGGGACATGCGCAGGGTTTTGTCGGGCTGGCCTTTGGCACAGCCCAAGAACAGACATTACATTAACCAAAACGGGCTGGTACATATCATAAATACTGAACTAAAAAATATCATGATTCCAGTTTGCACTGCCAATTCGGATAATGAATATTTGTGCAACCAAAAAAATCAGGAAAAAAGGAGGAGGCGGTGGATCCAGCAGGGCATTCAAGAAAAAAAAATTTATTGAAAATATCAATCAGCAAGGGCTTGGATAGAACTTAAAGTTGATCTGGACTGTGGCAATGGGACAGGAGCACAAATGTGGGGCCACCATGGCTATATCAGAGTGCATCGGTGGTCGAGGAGGACGCCGCGCCGGCAACTTCTTTAGGCATCTCCAACGCTGATCTTCATATTGCCTCCCCCATGCCCCCATGTGGGTACGAATATGGAAGGTGGACATCCAATGCTGATGGCATAAATTTCAACCCGGGTTTAAGCAAATTGGACAAAATTCTTTCAAACACGGTGGTTTTCATATAAATCGGAGCACATTCCTAACAATTCTTACATTTTTCATATAAACGAGACAAAATTCATTATATTTCGTATAATGTTTAACTAAACCCTAATCTAAACGATCGCTGGCGCCCGTTTCTTATGTCTGGCCATGAGCCTCAAGAACTGAAGCTTTCGTTGTTGCCTTCACCTTCTTCAGCTTTGCCTCGGCCCTCTCGCACTCTGCCTCCGCCATTGGAGCTTGAGCAGCTAATCAGCCGACGATTTTGAGCCTGCCAAGCTTGGCTTCGGCGGGAGGGGTAGAGCAGTGGCCTTCTTAGGACCCGAGCAACAGCGACCTTCTATGCACTACTCTTCCTCCCTACAGGCGGTGCTAGCTGATGTGCCGGCTTTGTGGTCATGGCGACAGAGAGCGATCGTGGACGGGCCGACGTGGTTGTCGCTCTTGCCGAACACCTCGTCCGCCGCCTGGTGGAACTCCTTGTAGGCGGCTTCTAACTCCGCTTGACGCTGGATGTACCGCGAGCGGTCGCGGCGGATTTCACAGGCGGAGCGATAGGACTCGAGCATCGCATCTTGCTCCCCCAAGTCCATGTCCGGCGTGATGGCCCTCTAGGCGGCAAGTTGCTGCTGTAGACGCCGGTGCTCATTGAGGAGGAGGTTGTAGGCTTGGTCGTCATGCGCCTGCCGGAACTTGGCCTCCCGCTCCTACCACATCATGTCCTTGTAGTGACAATGTGCCTCACACATGGTGATCCGGTTTGTACTGGCGAGGAATGTGACACCGGCTTGTCCTCCATTCGGGCATCATCGGCTTTTGTCTTCCAGCCAGCAGCAATGGAAGCCATCTCCTTCTTCTGCTCAGATAAGAGGTTGTCCCATAGGGCTTTGGAGCACAAAGAGGCCATGGCGGGTGTGATGGAGAGAAGAGAAAGGAACTTGAGGAGGATGGCCGTGGCTATGGTCGGGCCTAGAGTTTTAAAGCGGGAGGATGGCAATGGGTCACCGCGGTGTGGTTAATGGTGGGCCACAGACGGACATACAAGTGGTACCGGAGTAGGTTCCTCGGCAGCCTCATAACATTAATGTAGGGGTGGCGGGCGGATGGTGGTGTCGTTTGAACGGTGAGCATTCGACTGCACCAGGAAGCAATGCTGGCGGCGCTCTCTCGGCCGTTGCGCAACTTCAATGCCGACAACAGTGAGAGGTCGCGTCCGCTCTAACCAGCCATTGCGGGCGGGAAGTGTTGGCATCGTAGTAGACAAAAATCGGCCTATGATCACCCAGCACCAATATGAAGATGTGACAAACCGTTTGGATCAGATCGTTCGACTTCATTTTTGCAGCGGAAGAACATGAGTCGGTGTAGATCATATTTAGATTCCCTCGAACTGTAGATGAACGATCCCGTGAAACCCCCATGAACAGTCCCTCTAACGGAACACTGAAGGAACGGCCTCTCCACAGGTTGCAACCGTACGGTCTTCATGATCCGGCGGTGTTGCCCCATCCAGAGCTAATCATCGCCGAAGAACTAAAGGAGGAGATTAGAACCACACCAGGCATCGTAATTATGAGGAATTAGATGAAGCTCTAATTGGAACAACAAAGCGCGGAATCCGAAAGAAATTTCATCATTCACCTAGTTAGGTAACAATTATACAAAATATAAAAAAAATCCCTAAATCGGAAAGGTGCTTTGTAATCGCAGTTCAAAAGATACATAGCAAGATTTAGATAATTTAATGTGTCTGCTCACGTCTTTAAATACCGAAAAAACATCATCTGTCAAGTATCAGACAATCAAGTAACAATAGAGAAGATATACATCAGTCAAGTAACAGACAATAGAAGATTTATAATCTTTTGCAGAGGAAATACACATGATCTCAATGTACGTAAGCTCATGAAACAGAGCAAGACGCCGTCCTTTCTGAGCATGAATCCTTGGTTGTCACCAGTTAGCATCTCGCCGTTCCCACCAGAAGCACATGCCTCATCCCATATGTAAGACAACAGAATTGGGGGAATCGGCTCAACCCTCTAGGGGTGGTCTATCTCATATATATATAATGAAGGGGTACAAGTTACATCATACGTATGTGTACGTATACAACTACAGAGACTATACAGTCTAACACCCTTCCTCAATCTTAGCCACTTCCTAAAGAATCTAGAGGAGTAAGATTGCGGCTACAAGTCTCGAACTGTGGAAGAGGTAATGGCTTGGTGAAGATGTCTGCAAGTTGATCCTTGGAAGAGATGAACTTGATCTGTAGTTGCTTCTGAGATACCCGTTCCCGTACAAAATGATAGTCCACTTCAATGTGTTTCGTTCGGGCATGGAATACCGGATTAGCATATAGTTATGTAGCACCGATGTTATCACACCAAAGAATAGGAGACTTTGATTGAGATATTCCCAACTCCTGAAGCAAAGACTGTATCCAGATAACTTCTGCAGTTGCATTAGCCACAACCTTATACTCAGCTTCAGTACTGCTACGTGAAACAGTAGCCTGTTTCTGAGCACTCCAGGCGACCAAGGTAGAACCAAAGAACACAGCATAGCCCCCCGTGGATTGCCTGTCATCCGGACTGCCAGCCCAATCCGCATCAGAATACGCCGAGATGACCCAGAGGGTTTCGGTCGAATGTGCAAACCATAGGACAACGTGAAACGAATGTAGCGCAAGATGCGCTTCACCGCAGACCAATGAGTGTCACGAGGTGCCTGAAGATACTGACATACTCTGTTGACAGCAAAAGAGATATCAGGACGTGTGATCGTCAGGTACTGCAACCCACCAACAATACTCCTGTACTGTGTCGCATCAGTAGAAGGCAGGAGGTCACCATCGACAGCAGTAATCCTGTCAGTAGTAGACATAGGAGTAGTAGTCGGTTTGCACTTAAGAATCCCAGCCCGCTGCAACAGATCCAAAGTGTACTTCTTTTGTGTCATAACAAGACCACTGGAAACATAAGCAACCTCGACACCAAGGAAGTAGTGAAGCTGCCCAAGATCTTTGACCGCAAAATCAGCACCAAGAGA